GAGACCTGGAGGAGGGAGACTCTCCGGAGAGACACCCCCCCCCGGGCTTCCCTCAGCCCCTCCGAAATCTCAGCTGACTCAACCTGGACTCCTAATGCGGGTCTTAAGGGAGCTTAAAGGGGCATCTAGTCCACCTCTCCAGGCACAGTGAGAAAGGGGGACTGTGGTTCAGATTCATGGGAGGGGGCGAAAAATTAAGTCCACAAACCCCCCCGAACACCCCTCTAAAGCTGCAGCCCCCAAGACTGAAAATCTTCCCCTCCCTCGCCTTCTCCGCCTCTATTGGGAGGGATATTGGGGGGGGGGTCTGGGTTGCTCCTCCAAACTCCCCTTTAGTGAAGGGGGCTGGAGCCCCTCCCTTTGAGGTAGCCTTGGGGGCTGCAGGGGGGGTCTTTTGGGGAAGGGGACAGGAAAGAGGCCTTGAGAAGCATCCAAAGGCAGCTTGTGGGGCTGAAGATGGGGGGAGGGGGGAAAAGGGAAGGGGGGGCTTGAAGGGCGGGGAGAGCCTAGGAGCATGGGTGTGGGTATCCTTATTGTGGCCCCCTTCCCTTGTGCTCCCAAAAGGAAGAGGGAGAGAGGAGGTTGGATATTATTTTCCCTCCAGCCCAGAGGGGGGGTCTCTTCCCTCCCCCTATATTTCCTGCCGGTTTGGGAGGGGGGGCAAAGAGGGCCCACCGGGATCCAGCGTTCCCTGCAGACAGACGGAGGCCTGGACCGGCTGAACTTCTGCCTGCCTTTTTCTACCCTGGGGAGATGGAGGGGGGTCCCTCAGGAAGCTCTTTCCCCCCTCCCTCATTTTCCTCCCCCCTCCAGACCCCCACCAAGGGGGAAATCCCGCTGGGACCGACGGTTCCCCATCCCTCCTCCAGGGGGCGCCTTCCGGCAGTCCCTCGCGGCAGGTCTCCCATCACTCCGCCTTCCCGTCGCTCCGCCCCTCCTCTAGTAGCCGCTGGGAACGATGGGCCCTGGAGTCCCTCCTGAGGCCTTTCTTCTTTCTGCTCCACCCCCCCCCCCGCAGCCCATTTCCTGCACCAGGGGAAGTCCGAGTGCCATTTCTTCAACGGGACGCAGCGGGTGCGGTTTCTGGACCGAGACATCTACGACCGGCAGGAGATGGACTACTTCGACAGCGACCTCGGGAAATACGTGGCCGTCACTCCGTTGGTGCAGCCCGATGTGGACAAGTGGAACAGCGATAAGGCCCTCCTGCAGTACAAGAAGACCGGAGTGGATCGCTTCTGCCGACACAACTACGAGTGATACGTTTGGCCCTTTCCAGGGTGATTTGGGGAACCGGTGATGTACGATAGTCAGGCTGACTATCGGGCCTCGCACGCAGCTTAAGAAGACACGGACAACATCTTCCTTGGGTAAGGTGTGTAGAAGCAGGGGCGAAAGACCCCTTGAGTTCTTACGCACCTACTTTTATTCGAGTATAGCAGGTATGGGAGTGGTT